GGAAATATTAGAGTGAGCTATTTACAGTGGAGCAGCAATGTGGCAGCAGACCAGAGTTGTCACGGGCAGCCACAGCGCGTGGATCTTCCACCTCGTCTCCGATCTGGCAGGTTGGGATACCAGGGACGTTAGGGTCACAGGTCACTGTTCTGTGTCAAGCACAGGCTGTCTGCCTCCCCAGGCTCACCTGGGGCTCAGGCTGGGGGACGGGTTCAAGGGCTCGTTACTGGTGAGCTGTGTCCAGGAGTGCCCTGACAGATTGGTCAGTGACCCCTGTGACGTCCTGCTGACAGTGACATCATGGAGGGTCACCTAGCAGGGTCAGGGGCGCCTGCCTACACTTCCTCTGTTTCCCCATGTGGATACTCGTGGGTACAGGCTGATACAGGTGGATTCAGATGGATATGTGTGGGTACAGGTGGGCACAGGTGGATACGGGTGGGTACAGATGGATCCAGGTGAGGTGGATACAGATGGATATAGGTGGGTATAGGTGGATTCAGGTGGATACAGGTGGGTACCGATGGATCCAGGTGAGGTGGACAAAGTTGGATACAGGTGGGTACAGGTGGATTCAGGTGGATACAGGTGGGTACAGGTTGGTACAGGTGGGTACAGGTTGGTACAGGTGGGTGCAGGTGAATACAGATGGATTCAGATGGATATAAGTGGGTACAGGTGGATTCAGGTGGATTCAGGTGGGTACAAGTGAATACAGGATTCAGTACCAGCAGAAGAGACCTTAAGACACAATTAGTGATTGCAAATTAGGTGGGTTTCTGATTTTTAAAATGTTTATAAAATAAGAATTATTGTATATGTGTTGAGCTGTGCATCGGATATCTCAGAGCAGGCATGAGCACAGTTTCATCAGCTGACGTCTGGTTCCACAGGTTGGTTTAAAAACAGAGGACAAGGAAAAAAAGGCTGATCTCTAATGCCCATGTGTGACTGAGCATCTCAAAAGTGCCGCTGATCCTTAAATAGCTTTCAGATTTAAGCCCCAGCTTATCAGCCCTCAGCACAAGTAATGAGCAATGATTCCCCTTTGTCTTTTTCTTGGGGAGCACTGACCTCTTCTCAGGCCTGTCATGATAATAACTCCCCCAGCACCCCAGCCCCCCAACTCAGGAAATGGATTGCAGACCGAAGTGTGTCGAATGGGGGTACAGCCCCCGTAACCAGAGCAACTCAAGGCAACGGAGAGCCCAACCAAGTGACAAATGTTACCAAGGCAACAGAGAGACACTTTCTCCTGATAAAGAGCTATAACTTTGAGTGCTATAGAGTACACACACGCACACACACAGACACACACAGACCTTTATTCCAGAGGCCACCACTGCTTGACCACAGAGCTGCAGAAGCCCGTCCAGAATTCCCCTGGAAACATCATCAGGCCTCATTACGGTCTGAAATTCCAAAACCTCTCATCACTATGAAAGGTCCACCAGGAGGAGATGAGCCTCAGCCAGCCATTGAGGGGGGTTAATCTGATCTGTGCGATCAGATTTCAGAGGGTGCGGAGTTTCCAGTCTTCTGTATGATTCACACACAGGGTCCTGGGCCCCAGAAGATCAGGGGGGGCCGATCTCTGTAAAGCACTGGGGAAGGTCATTCTGAGCTCAGAGGGGATCGATGACCAGCCTTAGTCAAACAGGCATGTTTAACACAAACCTGCTGGTACTGACGCTGCTCTGAAAGGAAAAACGGCTCAATTCAGCTCAAGTGCAGGAGCCCTGACTCACCCTGCACACGGACACAGGAAGTGTTTAACTCATTCCTCCCTCTCCCGCAGCTTACAGAGGGACGGACGCAGATGCAGCGGGTCGGATCGGGTCGTTCCAGGTGTGTGCTGGGGGTCCGAGTGGACCGGAGGGCCTCTGGTACCGAACCTCGTCCACGCTCCTGGGCTCCCCCGTCTGCGCTGGGGGGGAAGCCGTGTGTTCTCTGAGTCTCTGAGCCGGCGCTGAGAAGGTTAAGAAAAATAAATCAGGCAAAGAGCCAAGGCAAAAAAAAAAACAAACATTTCACTTTAGTCCCTTGTTTGCAAAGTAATTGCTTCTCCGAGCCTGTCTGCAATCTCAGTAGATGTATTTTTTTATCGAAACAATCAGGGACTTTGTTATTTCTTTTCTAAATTTAACCAGGGGGGAGAGAGAGAGTAGTGAATTGCGCGCTGTACAGGAACAACGCCTCTCCTGACTGAAGCAGGGTCAGGAACACCACAGCGCCATCGCCCCAGCTTGAGCTCCGAGGGGAGCAGAGCACCTGGCATTTGCCCCGGTGGGCACTTTCCCTCTGGATGGCTTAAGGGATCAGGGAGAGACGAGCGCTCGGGTTTTCTTCTTCTGATGGGGACTGAATTTCCCAGCATCACGCGGTGCAATAGGTCTGCAGTAAGAACAGAAGGAAGGTTGCAAACGAGAGGTCTTTGACCTCTTCCTGCCCGGTGGTTAGTTAATTAAAGGGAAGAAGACTGACATGGAGCTACAAGAAAGGCAACCTGTGTTCCTTCAGCAATGGAGCTCAGGTACACTGTTGCTGCTGCTGGACGGCCCTGCAGAGGGGGTCACTGCTCCAAAACTGATCCTGGACCCTGAGCCCCCCTGCTTTGGCCCCAGGGCCCTGTTGTCAGAGAGGGGCAGGGAAGGGGCCCATGCCTGCCCTGCTGCCCCCCAGAGTTCAGACTTGCGTCCCTGCAGGAGGGTGTAACAGGACAGAGGCAGGACAGTCCCTCGTCTGCAGAGGAGCTGCTCTGGACACAATCTGGCTCAGATGCTGTTTATGATTCAGTTCCAGACTCCTGGATTCCCATGGATGAAAGATCAACTAACATTAAGCCTGGTAAATGTCATGCACACACACTTCCCTTTACTGCACTCTTAGTATTGACTTTCTATTCCCAGACCATTTTTTCTCCCTTAAAATTAAGCAGACCCATGAACTGCCTTTTAATTCATTTTTTATTCATCCCCCGAGCCATTGCCTTGCTTCTGCACAAGCCCTTCACTACTTCGGCTTACAGCTCCACGGTTTCCATGGCTACATCCCTCGCCCAGCCAATCACAGACGCTACTCCCTTCTGGTGGTCTCACCTCTAGGTGCCCCCCTCAGCCAATCCATGAACAGGGATTGAGCTCGGCCATCTTCGTGCTCTGCTGGAGCTCTCTTGCAGAACAGGAAGACCTCTCTGTGGTCATCGTGACGGTTTTGATATGTTCAGCTTGGCCAAGCATTAAATAGGAAAATACACAGATCAGAAGAGACACTTCAAGCGAGTTCACTGTTAAATATATGTACTGTGTAAACACCATCCAAAGGAGCTCTGATATCATACTAGGCCTAGCCAGTGGAACAACTATTCAAACAACATTGCAACTCTGCTTTCAGTCTGACTTCCTTGAGTCAATGTGGTTTGAATAGGCTGTTCTGACAGTTATCCTATTAGTAGAGTCCAGAGCCATGTGACTGGGCCGTGTCATTGTACTGGACTCCACAGGGACTA